TAACTAAAAAATTCTATAAATGTAAATATATATATTTAATATTAAACATATTCATCTTATTACAGAAGGATTGTTAAAAAATATGTATGTAGCTATTAATCATCTCAAAAACACGTACTAAAAAATGAATAACGAAATTAAAAAATATGAAGAAACAAACAAAACAATTAAAATGGAATTTTCTTGCACTTCGTCAAGTTTCTAATTAAGTACTTCATACATGATATTTCAATTTATTTATAACAAAATGTTTTATATTGAAAATAACCGAAAACACGATTTGGAGGAAAATAAGTAAAATTAAGATAGTTAACAATTTGTATTAACACCAGCACCAATGAGCATTTAATAACGATAAAACTGTGATGTAAATATAAATACCTGAATTAATAATTACAATTACCGCAACTACTGTAAACAATATTCAGTCAAAAATCGACAAGTGAGCTATTAGTTATCATTCGCACATATATATAATAAGCGACATAATAACTGTCCTGAATTTCACCAGAGGAACAATTTTCAAGTCTGTAATATCTTTACATAAAATTTTAAGGCATATTTAAGTTGTAGCCATGTATTTTAAACGCGCGATTAATATTGATATGTACCAGTACGTGTACGTATTGCTTAATTGTTTCAATTTAATACTTCCTACTTTAAAAGTTCTTTGATAATAAATATAACTTTATATATGTATATATACACACACATATGTATGCATGTATAAGACTTAACAATAAAAATTATTTTTGAAATTTGTTTAAACTAGTAAATAATTGTAATTCATTATATATATACATTAGAGCATTACAAATTTCATACGATTTTACTTGTAACAATGAAACAATTGATATAAATCATTAACAAATCGCAATCAAATAGAATTAATAAGTAATAATCGTAAAGCGTACAATGAACAATATCATCGCGCGCAAATAGCATAAAAATACAATACTCTTAAATAGGAATTAGTAACATGTATTTCAATAAAATGATATTACGTTTATTTCCTAATTCTCAAATTTAGAATTAATAAAAGTTTTGGAATATATAACTCTTCACCAATATTCTGTGTAAAAATTTATAAAACTTCGCTAACAAAAAATGATTCATTTAACTTCCATGATCTTAATTTTCGTCCATTTTGACTCTACAAAGGCCTCTGTAATTCTAGACTGTAATCGTGCCTCTCTATATTAATGATCACGCGGTTTAATTGATGATGTGGTACCGCACTTATTTATATTGACTATACTCGTTTATGTTTGTACAGTAATACATACATATATATGTATATTAGTACATACATACGTACGTATATTTTAATACTTTAAAAATATATTCCCATCTACGTGAGATAGTACGCTTCATATAAAATACTCAAATAATGGAAAATGTAAAGGATCACTTTTCCCTTACAAGATTCAGTCTCTGATACTCGCATAGAAGCCTGTAAGTTAATTCCACATCAACCTTATGAAATGATTTGAACAAAATTTGATAACATCATGATAAAATTCTGTTAAAGGTGGAATACTTTCAACCATATAGAATAAGTTTTTAGGGCACCTGTTTTATACATACTAATATATAGAGTAATATATAATCTATGAAAGCAATAGATTATCTAAATCATTCATTCCAGAACATGTGTAAATATAAGATCCAACTTTGCTGCAAATTCTGAAATACCTTATAATTCAACTACTATTACTTGATAAATAACAAACAAGTATAATATCTGTTTTAAAATTAAACATTAAAATATAACTGTAAAATAAAATTTTTGTCTACTTCAAATATATGTTATAATAAACAAAAACAACAAATACAGCATGCAGATAAGTTTTTCAACATTCTATTACGAATAAATATTTCGATATCTAAATTTTTATAACAAATTATTCTAAGATATATTTCAGTATCATGCAGCAAAGATATATAAAATCATTGCTAATAAACAGCATACATAAAATTAAATATGATTTCTGGGGAGCTTCTGACCTAGATGGCTAAAAAATGGGTACCCTCTATAAATATTTTTTTTATAAAACGTAGACATCAATATGAAACTTTCTGCATTATATTTATTAACATTTCTAGCATTTAATTTCATTTTTGTTTATAAAAAACATTAACTTGTGCCGTCCAAGAAAATTAACTTGGTTTCATTGTACCCTAAAAACAGCAGACAAGATTACAAGGTATTGTTAAAAAAAAGCAACACAGATAGTTTTAAATTTATAAAATTTGTGAAAAGTTGAACTTAAATGTATACAAAATGTTGAGAATTAATAAAGTTACGGTTTTTTTTTAAGTAGGTAACGTGATTTTCTTGTTTTTTTAACCTGAAAAGAATATTAATTTTTCAGATTTCACATGGTACTTAAATTCAACTTTCCCTAAAAACTGGTTTAATTTAAAAAAATCGAACTTCACATCTATTGGTTTATTTGTTCCAGAAATATCAACTCTGCCATTTTAAAAAACATACTTTCTAAAAAATCATGTTCAGATTTTCAGATATCAATCTTTCGTACCATGTGATGTTCTATTTCTTGTTCTATCTTCTATTCAAGAGTTTTTAATGTTGTCAACTTTTCGAATGTAAAGAAATCCTTTCATGCACATATTTTACATACCTAAAAGATACAAAAAATAGAAACAGACGAATTTCAATTTATTTAACCCTCTAAACCAAAATCTCCCCTTAATAATGTATTAGTTAATATCTAATTATTGATAATTATCTCTTTTTTTTAATAATCGCGCGAATAATTATTTCGAAAGATATGCATTTCTTCATTGTTAGTAACAAAGAACTAAGGAAATGCTATTTAATTTTTACTTCTTTTCACCTACTTTACAAAAATCCTAGAATATCATTATACAATCACAAAGATGATTAAATTTTTTATAACTATATAGTTACGCAGCTACAGAGTCCTTAAATAATTTACAATGGACCATAAACATATGATATTAATAAATCACCATACTGAGAGGAGCGCTTTTGAAGCGCGAAACATGTCCAGTTGCGCTGATTTGTGCTTCTGTGCTTCTTTTTAAGACAGTAAGATCTCATATCCTGCATTATGCTTTCATGTACATCTATACTTCCTTTTTAATAATACTAATTTTATGTAATTTTCTTTCGTGCAAAACTAACTGTAATAGGGAAGCACTTATCATTAGTGATGTTATTGCGTCCTTGTATTTTTTTTTTTTTTTTACAGACGAATATCATCAATTGTCAAGTAGTTATAATAAAAAAGTGAAATCATTCTTACATTTTATATCGTCAATGTAAATACAGTTTTCTAAAAACTGCAATAATGCTATTTTCTACACTCAACCCCTGTAAAAGCATTTTCCATTCTTTTGAGACTTTGAATAACATTTAACATAATGCTTTATATCAGATGGTAAATAAAAGTTGTACACTACATTTTTTCGAATACCTATAACTCACTTTCATGCACACATCCTTATGATACATTATACATGTAAGGCATAACCTTGATTCGTTCAATTTACATTATGTATAAAAGATTTAAGACGAGTCTGCCTGATTTGTTCCCGCATGATTTCCAAATAATATAAATATGCATTAAAAAGGTACAACATTCTTATTGCGGAATGTTATTGGGAACACATATTATCTAGAATTATCACTTTAACAAATATATGCTCACAGATGCATTAAAACTTAATCTATAGAGCTGCCATAAACGTTAAATAAATCACGCATTTTATGTAGCACTCATTGCGATTACATGCATTATAACTTTTCTATAAATTGCAAGTTCTTTGTCACTTTTAGATAAAATAATTGAAGTTTATATGATAGAATATCAGCAAACTGTTTAACTCAAAATGTACAAAACACCAAAAAATTGAAAATACCTCTTTTATAACTGTTTATGAACACATGATTATGCAATATATATTTCATTAACCATTTTGCTCTGACACTTACAATGTGCAATTGTTTACAGTTGCACCCTGTATAATTAGACTGTTTTGCTCAGAAAATAGAAAATTTATCTCCATTTTTATTAAATAAATAGATTGTTTATAACAAGCCCTGGTTGTTTTCAACTCCAAGTTATTTCGTTTATGCTTTTAAATTTTGCTAATTTCAGCCTTTATTTATTAAAAAGGTTTCATTGAAATGCAGGAAAAAATGCTGGATTTACATGTTGCTGTTTCTGCTGCTGAGGTTGAATCATAGGTGAGGTATATCCCACTGTTGGTGATGCTAAAAAATAATTATATTTCTTTCAATAAATAATGTTTATTTCTATATAATTCTCTTAAA